GAGCCTATGCTGTGCTCTGCAGGCCCAAACCAGAGCGGGCAGGATTGTCCACAGGCAAGTTCCCAAGCAAGGCTGTGTTCTGAACCCGTTTCAGGCTAAATAATCACTTAGAGGTATATCATTGGTCTCAGCCAACTCATGAATTTGATGGATATCCTCAAACCGCAGCAAACCATCAGCTCTCATACAGCACACGGGACCCTGGATCTAAGCTCAGAGTCTCTTTGCAAAGACTAGTCATTGCGTTGAAGCAAAATCTAGGTTCGAGAGTCATAGGATTATAAATAGGGATTCAAGGAAGCCAAAGAAGTGGACACGCTCTCTCCAGACTACTTGGAGAAGGGCAGGGGCCCAGAGGGTGAAACCAGAAGACCATTAGGGAAATGGATTGGAAAGGAAAGGCAGCGAGAGAGGAGGCTGTGGTGGAGACTGAGAAGGAGCAGGCGGAAGAAGACGGGGAAGAACCAGGCGAAATCACTTCCTGCAAACCAAGAGAAGACAGCGCCAAGAAGTATGGTGCCAGCGCTGTCTGGTACTAGAAAGAGAGTAGCAGGAAGGGCGTGGGAAAGCACACGTGGATTTGACAACTGGAAGACTATTGTGCAGAGCTGGAGGAGTGGGGACCAGGTGATCCAGAACGCAGTATCATTGCATTCGTAGTAAACAAAATACCACCGTTTTCATTCAGAACGGTTTGAGGAGAAGGGAAGTCTCCCCAGCATGGAAGACAATTGGCCAGAAGCAAGCCAGGCAGAGAGAAAGAAACAAGGTCCCAAGTGGGCACAGGGAGGTTTCAGGGAGGCAGGTGGGTGTGGAGTCCCGGAAAGAAGCCCCAAGGGCCGACAGAATCAAGGTGGAGCTGGCACTGCTAAGCTTAGAGGAGGAGGGAGAAGATTCAAGATGACCTTTCTTTTGTTCTGTGTCAAAGAAGTTGAGGTAGGATAGCAGACTTGAAGATGGTGATGAGGACTTAATATGGCTACCACTACCACTGGAAACAGGGAAGCAAATGAAAGAAAGAGAGAGAGAGAGAAAGAAAGAGAAGGTAAAGCAAGCAAAGTGGAGGGCCCCGCTCTATTAACCAGTGGCTGAGTCAGAGATCATAGACCACTGTAGGAATCCAGGGAAGGGCATGGACCCCGAGTCAGAGCCTCCTCACTAGAGAGAAGCCTAGACTTTCTTAGTCAAAAGTCATCTAGACACTCTTGTTGCCCAGCAATTCCAGTCCTGAGATCCGCACACAGGTCCATAAGGAATGCATATGGGGATATTGGTGGCAGCACTCTTTGGGGCCTAGCAGACCTGGAGACGCTCTGGCTGTTTGTCACTGGGAAGGGGAGAGATAGAAAAATAGTGGGTGCCCCTTCCCTGTTGTAGCAGCCGACAATTAGGAGCAATTGCTTTGATGGACACACACCAACAAGCATCAATCTTAGCAGCATGGTGCTGAGTAAGAATGTGGAATTTGTGGAAACTGTAAATAAATGTGCATAAAGCAATCTGTTTTTAAGGAGTACATCCTTTGTGCTTTAGCACAAAGGAAGGGCTGTCTGTGTGGGGAAGAAGAATAAGGAGCAGGGCCTGGGAGGAAGCAGAACGAGTCCATCGACCAAGCCAGCCAACCAGGGAGTTGGGTGGAAAAAGTGAATCTGGGGAGAGCTGAAGACCCCACCCCTAGAAACGTGGACATGTGTTTATCCATACACGTCTCAGCACGGGAATCCAGGGGGCAACACTCACCCCTGTTGGGAGCCATGTATTTCTAGCATCATCAGTTAGTCTCACTGGAGTTAGGCTGTCTAAAGCTGAGCACGTCACACGAGATGACTGCTGTCTTATTCAGCAAGTTTTCCAGAGAACCCTCAGCTGTCTCTAGACCTGAGATGTCTTTGTTTAAACCAGTCATTCACAGCCCCTTCTTCTTACTAAAATTATGCAGCTTTTCTTTAAGTGCAAAAGCCCCCCACCCCCACCCCTGCTGATAGTCTAATGGCATTGGGCTGATGTGGGGCCTAAGCATCTTTTTGTTTGAGAGCTGATTGTAACGCTCAGCCAGGGTTGAGAACTGCAGACCCAGACAGAATCCAGAGATGGTCAGATCTAGAACTTCTAGATTAAACTACACAAATGACCAGGTGATTTCTTTTTGCACCCTAAGGTTTTAGAACTATTGGCTGGGGCAGAACATAAAACTCCATCTCTCTTATTCTAGAATTGGCATCGTTCCTGGTCCTGGCCTATCTCCTTGAGTTCAGGTTCATTTTCCGTGGGAGATGAGATGGGGGTGGGAAGGTGTGAGGATGCCGTGGTCTTCCCAAGCCTTCTATCGTAGAGCTCGCTTAACTCTGGTACAACCCATTGGCAATACCCATGATATTCTCTCTCTCTCTCTCTCTCTCTCTCTCTGCCATAGTGCAAGGGTGTTCATGGGACTCACACAATGCTTCCCTTGCTGAGAGAGATTTTCTCAGCATCGAATCAGTCTTTTTCAATCAAATGAGTAGTCAGGAGACCAACCCACACTAAAATCTCTACATCTGTTTGATGTTACTGTGAGGCTGATGGTTAACGTTAAACTAGGAGCTGCGGGGAATAATCCAGGACCTGCTCCTCTCCTCAGCATTGGTACTTTGCTTGGCATGGATGGAGATGGTCCAGTCATTGGATGCTACTTGCCCATGGGTGCAAATAACTCAGCACACCAGCGCTCCTACAGTAGGCAGCGAAATGAGGCTCCCCGCCCCCAGCCGCTCCCAGAGGGAGCTCTGTGCCACCATTCTCTTAGGAAATGTTTTGTGGTAACCCTCATCACTCCCACACACAGGTCCGCTGCCCTCTAGTGGTCAGGAGGACCATCTGTGTGCGGGCGGGGACCAGAGCAGGTGGACTCAGAGGCATCCTTGTGGGACTGGCCCTGGTAGTGGGTTATGTGTTAGGCTGCTAACCATAACGTCAGTAGTTCAACCCCCCACCCCCACCCGCAGCTGCTCCACGGAAGAAAGATGAGGCTTTCTGCTCCTGGGCAGCCCCAAGGGGCAGCTCTACTCTGCCCTGTGGGGTCACTATGAGTCAGAATCGATGTGATGGCAGTGCGCTCGAGTTTACTTTTAGAGCTCCCCCTTTTAATCATCCTTCTGCAACCATTTTATTCGAGTCGCTCTGCCGCTGTGGTTGGCTCTGGTCTTGTGACATCATGTGGGCCACGTGCCGTGAGAAGAGGGCTTGAAGCTAATGCCCCACCCCCGTGGGCATGAGCACCTAGCAGCTGGAGTCTTAGTCCAAACATTGAGGCTGCGGCTCGTCCTGGGCCCCTTCTCCTGCCCCTCGCCCCCTCGCAGAGTGCGGATTGACAGCGGCAGGCGAGGACCCACTGGCTGTGCCCCCATGCCACTGACTGGAGGGACTTTTCTTGTCTTCTGCTTGCTCCCAGCACCCAGTGCTGCCTGTCTGCAACCACAGGAACCAGAGGTTGGCACGTTCACGGGACGCTTGCTCTGTGCTAAAGGAGAGCTTGCCGCCAATTCTTTAGCTGGGTTTCTCAGTAGAGGACAATTGCCATTCACGATCGCTCCATTCCCCAGGCGTGACTCATCCTCATGGTATATAATAATCTGAAGAGAGGCCCTGGAAACCCTCTTCTGGCCAATACCAGAGCCCAGGCCCCCAGTGGCTCTATGGCTGAGCTGACTTTCAGTGAAGGGAATCTCCCTGCAGTCAGGGAGTCTCATTGAATAACAAAAGGAGAAAGACGGGAGATTCCCTTCACTGCCATGGCGTCAATGCTGACTCACAGCGACCCCATGGGGGGTTTTGAGACTGTAACTGTTTACAGCGGTCAAAGGCCCACTCTTTCTCCCACGGAGCTGCTGGTGGTGGTTTCGAACTGCCCACCATGCGGATGGCAGCCCAATGCACAGCCACTACGCCACTGAAACTAAAGGCACTGATCATGTGGAAGCCAAGAAAAGTGGTGGCCCTTGACGCAGTTGGATCCGTCAGACAGCGCCTAGAGCAGCAAACTCCAACGCAGAGGCAAGCTGGGTGGGGGGTGGGGAGCAATCTCATGGCACCCTCTGGAAATGATGCTCTCCGCTTCCATTAGCTCCCACTTGAACCTTCCTTATGTTCCCATGTGGGTTTTGTTGTGTTTTGTATTTTGTATTGACACCTTGCCTGGGATTAGATTAGAATCTCCACAACTGATATGCCCATAAACTATAAAACAGTACTGATCACACAACAGTACTGGGGGGAGCTGGGGGCGGGGCAGGGGAGGGAATTGTGTCCTTTGTTTGTTTGCCTGAGAATGACCATTTGAAATTGACTTTTGAACAATCTTAGCGGCCAAGAGAGCTGCATCAGAATACATCCATGAGGTATCTCCAGCATGGGCAAGTAGGGCAGCAGGTCTCTGGAGAGTCGGGCAAGGAACTCCTGAGCAAAAGGAGGAAAGGGTCCCATCTCAGTGGAGAGAAGAAGGGAACTATGAAAGGAACCGTTCCACCGGGTGGTGCAAACGTTAAAGCGCCCGGCTGCTAACTGAAAGGCTAGCGGTTGGAGTCCACTCTGAGGTACCTCGCAAGAAAGGCCTGGCAATCTACTTCCCCAAACACCCGTCTCTGACAACCCTGTGGAGCACTGAGCT